GAGTGACAGGTCAAAAGGTACAAGTATCCAGTTATAAAGAAAGTCAGGGGTATGTACTACACAGCACGGGGACTACAGTTAATAATATTCTACTGTATATTTAAAAGTTGCTAAGAGGGGCACTTGGGTGGCTCAGTCTGTTAAGCATTTGACTTTGGCTCAGGTCATGAACTCATAGTTCAAAAGTTAAAGCCCTGAATCAGGCTCTGTGCCGATAGCTCAAAGCCTGGAATGTGCTTCAGATTCTGTGTCTCCCTCTCTCTCAAAATAAACATTAAAAAAAAAAGTCTTATAAGAAAAAATTTTTTTTATGTATGGTGATAGATGTTAAGTAGATGTACTGTGGTGACCATTTCACAATATATACAAATACTGAATCATAACCTGAAACTAATATAATGTTATAGGTCAATTCTACCTCAATAAAAAAAAAGGGAGCTGATGGTTATGTCATCACCTTGACTATGGTAGCTTCGTGGGTGTATTCATGTCAAAACTTATATAATTATACACTATAAACGTGCAGTTTTGTGTCTATCAATTGTATCTCAATAAAGCAATTAAAAAAATGGATGGGCAACATAAGTTTATAATCTCCATCATGCACAAAATATGATTAGACAGGATAAAAATCAGTCAATACGTAAACAGAAAAATAAATGGTGATATGTTCATAGAATGTTCAGGAATAAAGAAACAGCCATGGGGAGCCTGGGTGGCTCAGCTGGTTAAGCGGCTGACTTCGGCTCAGGTCATGATCTCACAGTTCATGGGTTCAAGCCCCGTGTTGGGCTCTGTGCTGACAGCTAGCTCAGAGCCTGGAGCCTGTTTCTGATTCTGTATCTCTCTCTCTGACCCTCCCCTGTTCACGCTCACGCTCTCTCTCAGAAATAAATGAAACATTTAAAATAAAAATGTAAAAAAAAAAAAAGGAATAAACAACCTATAAGAATAAACAAAATCTCAATATGCTGAGCAAAGAGCAAGATACAAAAACAATATACCACATTGTTCTATTTATATAATATTCTAGAAAAAGCAATACTAACCTATAGTGACAGAAAATAGGAATCAGTGGTCTGGGGGCCAGGCATGGGGATCACTGAGACAAGAGAACTTCTTGGGGTGATGGAAATGTTCTTTATCTTGACTGTACTGGTGGTTACATAGGTGTACACAGTGGTTAGGTCATCAAACAGTAAACTTAAAATGTGTGCAGATTACTGCATGCAATTTCTATCTCAATAAAGCAGTTAAAAAAAAAAACTGAAGCTACTAGTTATAATCACATACACATACCTCTAGTTGTTGTTGTTCCATTTTAGTCAATAAAAATTTGGAGTAGATATTGCTTTTTTCAAGCAAATGTTGAAGTCTACGGTACCGAATGTCCACGGACTCTCTATCCCAAGACATGCGAGCCTATCCAAAAAGAAAATTTACATAATTATTAAGTTTTCTAAAATATGTGATTTTTTTATAAGATGTAAAAAGAAAGTCTAAATACATGCTCTTTGGGGGTTTAATGTTTTTCTGTTATTAATGGGTGGAGAAAGATTTTTATATATGATTTATTTTCCAAAACAAAAACTAGAACAAAGCTGAAAAAATACGATTCTTGAGGTCAACATTCCTTTTGGTATGATGCAGCTTGGATACCAAAATATTGAAATTTTAGACACTGGACATGTTTACTGGCACCCCAATGAATTAAGGTCCATTTTTTAATATAAAATTAACACTTGAAAATATTTAAGTTTGTAAACAATCAAATGACTTCAGAAAAGAAAAATTTATATATCAGTTTTATTTGAAAGAGCACTAGAATTAAAAAAAATCATTTCATTGGCTAGGAACTAGAACAACTATTCTTAGAATTTTAAAATTGTATGGCCTGGGTGGCTCAATCAGTTAAGCATGAGACTCTTGATTTTAGCTCAGTTCATATTCTCAGTTGGTGAGTTGAGCCCCACACTTGCAGAGCATTCATGCGGTTCTCTCTCTCTCTCAAAACAAACTTTATATTTAAATAAACCTTAAAAACAAAAAGACAAACAAAAGACTGTATTGCTGGGGTGTCTGCCTCAGTCAGTGTAAGTGTAACATGCGACTCCTGATCTCAGGGTTGTGAATTTGAGCCCCACACTGGGCCTAGAGATTACTTTAAAAAAGAAATGAAAATCCTAAAATAAAAATTTTTAAAAATCTGCATTGTAAAAATATTTCAACATGCTAAATCTATTTCTGATTTATCACTTCTCCTTCCTCCTCAGCATTGTGTTCCCCAGAGCTTTGCCCTTCTTTTTAGACTTTTTACTTTCCCCTACACTTAGCTTTATCTTTTACTTCTGTACACCTTTAAATCACGAGCCTGCTTTTCATAATACTTTTACATGCCACTTATTTATTAAGTGATTTCTAAGTCTATAATAGTCCAGTGGCTGAGAAGGAATCCATTTCTCTCTCGATTCACACTGATGAAGTTAAATATTTGAAAAGAATACCAGAGGACACAAGATGGAAAACAAAAGTAACAAATAAATACAATATAGTTCAGTGGTGCACAAATCTTTTTCTGTAAAGAAGGGTAAGTATTTAAATATTTGAGCATATGGCTTATACTCAATTCTGCCTTTTTACACAATAATAGTAATAGACAATATATAAACAAATGGGCAAGGTTATGTTCCAATAAAACTTTATTTGCCTAAACAGGCACAATCCAGTTCATAATTTGTCAACCGGATATAATCTGAATTAAAAGAAAAAAAAAAAAAAAAAAGCACTAAGTGGGCTGAAGTGAGTCAAGAGTTGAATTCATCTACCAAAGCCAAATACGTGCAAAACTTACAAACCATCAATTCTACTCCTGGACAAAGTGTGTGTGAGCAAAGTGAGTGAGTGAAAGAGAATAGATGCAGAGGCTGAGACAGCATAACCTAATTAACTCTAATTTAAGGTTAAGGCCTCACCTTAAATTTAGACATCACTGTATACTGGCTTGTACTTCCTAGATGTTTTATCATCTCTCTAGCTTTTCTTTCTAAAATAAATTTGTCTATTACAAAAGAAATGACATTAAGATACCTAAAAATAAATCCAATGAAAATAATAAATGCACATTATAGGAAAATATTTAAGAAAGACCCACAAAACAAACACCCATTACTCTATCCATGCAGATAATCTGCTGACATCTTACAAAACTATTTTCAGTTTTTTAGGACAGCCTTTCTTTTACTATTGCCAATATATTACTGATTACAATAGGCAGTCAATGAATGAAATAGATTTTATAAATCGAGAGATGAAATTACTTAGATATTAAAGAAATTCTTAATTTTTAAAATTTACTTTAAATTTTAATTAAAATATTCTGGACTTAATTTGATAGATCTACTACCTTAATCCTATTCAGAATAAATTAGCACATATTTTTTAAGATTTAAGATACCATTTTATACTTATTTGTAAGTATTATAATTAAGGAAATAAAATCAATGACTAACCCTTAAAACCTTTAATACAACTCCATATATCAAAATAATTTTGTGGTAAACCTTACCTACCATTACTGTTCCTTAGCAATTTTATTTGTTATATTAAGGTAAATTGTAGCTTCAGCTGTGGAGAGCACTGAGTGCCTGGCAGGGAAACTCTCTTGATAACTAGAGTGAAAGAGTATGCCAATGGACACCAAGGGCATAAATTCCCCAGGATCTACTTCATAATCTCTCCTAACACCAACACCAGATTTGGGGGCATAGGGATGGAGTTATATTTCATTCTATACCATATGAACTATTTTCCTTTTACCTAAGACTTATCCCAACTCTTACCTTTCCCCTCCCCCACTACATATACATTAATGCTATTCTTAAATCTTAGACTAACAATGACTTCTTTCAAAAGGAAATGCAGGTGAAAAGCCAAAGAAAATAACTGTAGCAAATCAATGTCAAAGCCATTCTTGACTCTTCACAAATCTTAAAATCTCCTAAAGCAAAGTAAATGCTTCTCATTAAGGAATTTAAGCATGCTCTTCCTCTCTTAAGTACTTCTAAATATATGCCCATGAATACTGTGGGCATATATTCTTCTAAAAGAAAAAGAATCTTTATTTCTGTATAGTGAATTTTTTGGCCCCCAAAGACATGTTAGGAGAGACTAATTCTCAGAATTTTCTCCATGGTCAAGTATGGAATAACTTAGAAGTGAAAACCATAAAAATTAATCAAATTCCTTGAATACTTATACATAAAAAAATAATAGACCATAATACTGCTAGCTTTTTGGCAAATCACACCCTTATATTAGTAAAAGAACTGAAAACAGATATATAATTTATTCATGGAAGGACAAAGTGGATTAAAAACTGCTATCTTAAGTTCTATGATGAATAACTGCTAAAGAAAAGGTTTGTTTACTTAAAAATTTCACTGAAAGTATGTCATTTAGATTCTAGTTTAATCAACAAATACTTATGGTACTATAAATTTTGAGAGATCTTTCTAAAATGTGAAAATGGGGGCACCTGGCTGGCTCAGTAGGTGGAGGTGACTCCTCTTGGATTATAAATTCGAGTCCCATGTTAAGTGTAGAGATTACTTAAATGAAAATCTTCCAAAATAAAAACATGAAAATGTTTTCATCTACTGAATTAATGCATTCTGGAAATGTAGTCTTACTGTACCTCATAATCTTTGTTCAAATAGTACTTCTTTACCCACCAACTTTCAGGAGTAATAGATCTGAAGACATACCACTCAAAATGAAGGCTTTATTGGGGCGCCTACGTGGCTCAGTCAGTTAGATGTCTGACTGTTGGTCATGATCTCAGGGTTCGTGGTTTTGAGCCCTGTGTAGGACTGCACTGGCAGTGCAGAGCCTGCTTGGGGTTCCAGCTCTCTGCCCATTCCACCTCCCTCAAGCTCTATCTCAAAAATAGAATGAAGGCTTTATCATTCTCATAATCTCTGAAGTTGATTCAATTCCGGACACTTGCCTCAGGATTCACCCTTTATAATTATCATCTTATTACATGCTAGTAAGTACATTTATTTTATTTACATAATTTCTTTTTTTTTTATTTTTTTAATGTTTTATTTATTTCTAGGAGAGAGAGAGACAGCGTGAGCAGGGGAGGGTCAGAGAGAGAGGGAGTCACAGACTGAAACAGGCTCCAGGCTCTGAGCTGGCAGTCAGCACAGAGCCCGACGCGGGGCTCGAACCCATGAACCGCGAGATCATGACCTAAGCGAAAGTCGGACGCTTAACCGACTAAGCCACCCAGGTGCCCCTATTTACATAATTTCATATATGCTATGTAATACAGAATATTCTTGACCAGTTTCAAATTCAAGAGCATTTACTGACTGCCTATTTGCTAGGTGTACAGCCTACAGAAAACAGTAACTGACATGCTTTCAATAAACAAAATGAGAATCAAGTAAGTAATAATACTGTGAAACAAAGTACTATGAAAATCCGTATCATGAGGAAAGGTGGTTCACGGTCAACCTCCCAATTCTATTAAAATTTCTTAACATTACTGTAACTGATTATGGTCAACTATGGGTGATGACTAATAACAAAATTAGTATTACTGGAGTGAAAGTATAGCATGGTGGTTAAAAAGTGTGAATTCTGGAATCACATGGCCTACCAACAATCTTGGCTCTACCACTTACAAGCTGTGGGACTTTCTCCTTTCCCCACCCCCTCTATGCCTCAATTTTCTCATCTGTAAAATGGGGTGAAAACAGACCTACTTAAGAGAGTGCTTTAATAAAAAAAAAATAGTTTATACTAGTAATAGTTTATACTAGTTTATGTTAGGTTTAATAATATAGTAATAATGTATTTAATAACCGTATCTACATTACAGTCTAGTTGAAGCCTCACTGAATAAATACATGTACAACATTCACAACAGTGTTAACAATGCCAGCAAAAGAATCATTATTGTTGATACAAAATGGCAGAAAACCAACTAATTCATTATTTGTCTTTGGGGTGCATTTTTTCCCAATTTAAGTAGTTTTGCAATTACATATAGTTAATTAAGTATTAATGTTTACTTCCTTGGGTATAGGGTCAAAAACAAAAATTCTGAAGACAGCCAGAGTTCAAATTTGAGTTCATGTTGTGTGACCTCCAACCGCTCCAGCTTCCTCATATGTAAATACAGAGGTACCAAAAGTACCTATAGCATCACAATATTCGGAGTGCGAAATAAATTATTACAAGAAAATCACTTAACTTGGTTGGCAGTACATACCGGTTAGTGGCTATCATTCCTTTTGTTGCACACCCAAGAATTAATAAGCAAGGTAGGACTTTATTACTGAGTGAAATATACCTGAGTATTGAATTTTCAGGAGGTTGAAAACTGCTTTCAGTAATCTACAAAATACATACTCCGTACATGAAAACCACAGGTATAATAACTTAATCACTGAAAAAGTACACCCCATTTTTACCCAAAGCATCTTCCTTCGCAGCACTCCAAAAAACCAAAAGGAAAACGGAAAGCAAGTTTATCCCTCAGGTGGAAAACGGCACTGAAAGACCTCACTCAAAAACTCACCACCGGCGTTGTAAGAACGGTTACGGCTAAAGGAGCCCTTGAAACGCTCCCAGGCCGAGACTACGCCTCACAGAAGCATCCTGCAGAGCGCGAGCAACGGTGTCTCACAGATAGAGATCAACAAAGCCCGTTTTAAAGGGTCTGGAAAAAGGCGAACGGAGAACCAACAGGACCTCCGAGGAAGCCTACGACCGGCTTTAACGACGGTGAACTTGAGTCCTCAAGTACCTTTTCTATCATCTTCCGCTCCCTCTCGAGTCCAGCAGCCTCGAGCTGTTCTTCCTCCTCCAGCATGGCTTGGGTAATCACAGCAGTCTCGGGCTCTTCAACCGGATCCGGAGCCAGGGACCCTAAGAAGGGAGAAGGCTTTTCAACTGCATTTCGTAAACAGTACCAGGTCACTCAGCTCCCACGCTGAACAACCCTCCTGGATGCATTCGAGGCAAAAGCTGAAGACCCACGGGGACGCCAGCATCAGCCCTCTCAAGACATCTCGGGGTCTCCACAAGTCAACAAGTGGTCAGGACCCCAGCTTACTAATCGGGATAGTCGGGGAAATGCGGCTCCCCTGTGTAAAATCCGCTATATCGTGCACATTATATGCAATTCAGGGCGCCCTCCGCTCACCCTCCACAGCCTCTTGCCCTCCTTTCCTCAGTCTCTGCACGCAGTCGGCTCTACTCCCCAATCTCGGCTGCCGCCTCCATGCTGTCTCCCTACCCCCCGCCCGGACGCCGCCGCCCGGCGCAGGGAGGAAGGGTCTCCTTACTCACCATTGCTGCTCGCGGGCCCCTGCGCCGGCATGTCTGACACACACTCCAGAACCCGGTCCTCTCCTCTCAGCGCCCGCAACGCCGCACGCTAAAGTCGCTCAGCTGCCGCCTGCCCAGTCTCCTAGCCAAATCCCCGACCAGGGAAAAACGCGCGCTTCTCTTCGCGGGAAAACGCCATCGTCTCGCGATACTTCGTGCTCCCCGCCCCGCCCCCGAACTGCGGCCGCACGAGATTTGGCGCAAATTAGTTTTCATCAGAACACACACCTGGGCTACGGTATTTACGTAGGAGTCTTCTGTCGGGAAGACGGGTGCTGAAGTTAGCCTTCTTTGTGACACTGGACGCCTCTGCCCACCGTGGAGGGCCCAGTTTCCTCACGTATTGGATGATGGTTTTGAACTACACAACACTTCAGTAGCGCTCTTAACTATTTGCAAGGCACCTTCACACACTGGTTGATGTGATTAAATCGCGCCAACCCCATGCTCCTTCAGGTAGGAAATATGTAGGAGTATTCAGGTCAGGATGTCAGAAATAAGTATTGCCAATCTCGCCCGCCATCCTTCGTGCACAGTGTACATTTTGGGTGAAAACGGGCCAAAGTGACCCAGAAGAGAGCTCCTTTGTGGGTGAGATGGGAGAGAAAAATAGGAAAGTAAGATTATGGCAGAGTACAAGAAGGTTGTTTTTGAATAAGGGAGAACTGAATGTAGCGAAAAGTGTGTGTAGTGGCCAGTAGAAGAGACAGAAGATTAAAGAATTCAATAAACCAGTAATTAGAACGGGTGCCTGAAAGAAGGTACTGGACTTTTGTCGCTGGTTTTTTACTTCAGCCTACAATTCCACATTTTCTTGTCTGCAATTCCTTTCAATAAATTCCTTGCCACCCCTCACCTTCCTTTCTGAGAATTTGTGGTATACCTGCCATGTTACCACCTGTTTCCTTCATTTCTGACTCCGGACTTTAATGATTGTATTAATACAAAATTAAGAGCTTGCAACACACATCCATCAAACCATCTTCAGTAACCATCATAACACTCTGAGATTAGCAGATTACTTTTATCCCTACATTGTAGGTGAGAAAACTGATGCTGAGAAAAGACTGATTTGTCCAGAGACCTATGGGTACTTTGTGATAAAACAGAAGCCAAACCCAGGCATTTTCTCTCCTTCTTCAGTATTAAGATAAAATATAGCCTCAATCAATACTTCTTAAATCCTACCTCCTTCTAACCTAAGACAATAGCTATCAGTCTCACTTAAGACTTCCCCAACCTATCTCCTAAAATTTCTTTCTCCCTTACTTTTGAAACACAGCTTTTCACAGGATTTTCCTCTACTGTATTGAAAATCTCTTTTTCCTTCTTTTGAACTCAGTTGTGGCCCAGCTCCCAAAATCTTTCCTCCATCTGTTGCTTTTCTGTATATACTCTGTACTTACAGCATCTGCTGTATAGGCTTTAATGATCAGCTCAAGGCTGACCACTTCCCTTCTAATTCCTGAGACAGTAGGGAAGGCTTGTCCAGATGCATAGGTGATGGGAGTTCAAGGCATTTTCATCTGATTCTCAAAGGAAAGACATCTAACATCTGGCCCCACACTTGTTAATACAAGTGCACTGGTAGACTTCCTGACATGTTTGCCATTGTGCAGACCTTCCCCTCAGAGTGGCAGTTCAAAGTTTGTTCATTCTCTTTTATTTAAGGGCCTACATTTAAATGTCTTCTGGGTACCAGAAACATTTCTAGGAGCTGTACATGAATGAACAAGACAAACAAGATCCCTGTTGATATGGATCTTACATTTCAGGCATTGAAGCAGGTAAGCATGTGTAGGGGGCGGGGGTATGAGAAGCACTCTGCAAAATGTTAGGATAGAGTGGTGTAAGAGTGACTGGGTACTTGAGAGTAGGTAGTTAGGTATCCGAGGAAATGACAGACACTTAGGTTGAAAATTAAATGTCAAGCAGTCAGCTAGCCCAGGGGAAAGATAGTTGTATGGGAGGAAAATTTTTACTCTACCCTGCTAGGTTCTTTGGTCTATTAATTAAATTGGCATCTTACAGATTACAAGAGAAACACAAATTTAATTAGTACATAAAGGAGTCACACAGAGTTAATGAGAATCTCCCTAACAGGCAGTTGAGGCTTATATACCATTCTTTTAAATATTTTTTTAATGTTTATTTTTGAGAGAGACAGAACACAAGTGGGGGAGAGGCAGGGAGAGAGAGACAGAATCTGAAGCAGGCTCTAGGTTCTGAGCCACCAGCACAGAACCTGAAGCGGGGTTCGAACTCACAAACCACAAGATTACAATCTGAGCTGAAGTCAGACACTTAATCGACTGAGCCACCGAGGTGCCCCTAGGCTTATATGCCATTCTAAGCTAAGAAGGGAAGGAAAAAAATTCACAGGAAGATGAGAAGAACAAATGTTTCATAAACAAATGTTTGCAATGTCATGCAGACACAAAGGGAGATGGAGAATTTTCAACAAACAGGCCCTCCCCCCAGTTTACTACACCTGGTCCTTATTCTCTAATTATTTCTGGTGATAGCTCTCTTCGTAGACTAGGCCCTCTATATAAATTCTTTTAAGCAGTTGAGGGAGGAAGTTAAAAAACAAAACAAAACAAAACCAACTCTTGAGTCTTTGGGCCTTAACTGTCTTTAGCTCAAAAATCAGCAGGCCAAGGTGGTGCATTCTGGGGAGACTTATTCTTAACCACTTGTCTGAAACTCCCCTGGAAGATGCACACATTAAAAGCTGAGCTGATGGCTATGGAGAGAAGAATCAGGCAAGTGGCTGGGTGCTAAAACATCTCCAACGGGAGAAAATAACATAGATTGGAATGAGGATGAACAAACAGAAAAATTGAAGCACATTCCCCCACAACCCATTAAACCAGTCTCTCAATCCTGGGACTATATCAATCCAATAAGATGGCTGTGCTTCATTTATCTGATAGAAAGTTTAATCTTTTATCCTATATAGAGATCTCTATAGAAATCTATCTATATCTGTATATATATATCCAAGATCCAGACTCCAAGATCAAAAGTCATATGCTCTATAAACCGAACCAGGCAGGCACCTCCTTCTCTTTTTTTGAACCATAACCTCAAGATTTTATTGTCTTCATAATAAAACAAAATATGAAGCTTAGAACTGGACCATGTGGCCCTCTTATCTCCTCCCAGTTCAAAATGCTTGCTTCTCTTAATAGCCAGCATTCTCTTAGATCTGTAGTTGGGCTCCACACATTCATCCATCAACACAACCTTCTTTGTAATTTTAGCCTTTTTCTGGAAAATTGGCTTAGTCTGCCCACCATAGCCACTCTGCTTCCTGTCATAATGCCACTTTCCCTGGACATAAAGAGAGTCTTTTTTTTCTTGTACTGTGTCACTTCTTGGGGTTGGTCCTTACCACAGTTCTTGCAGAAAGTCCAGCGGGTTTTAGGAATGTTCACCATGTTTATAAGAGCACTACTGGCATGGAAAGAAAGAGATCAGGCTGGAAATGAAAGTATTAATTTTTTTTAATAGACATAAGTTAGACACTATTTCTCCTGTCCCATTTATAGAGAAGCAGCATTTTTCACCAATGACTGCACAAGATCCTGCTTTTTAAAAAAATTTTTACATTTATTTATTTTTGAGAAACAAAGTGAGACAGAGCGCAAGCAGAGGAGGGGCTGAGAGGAGACACAGAATCTGAAGCAGTCTCTAGGCTCTGAGCAAACATTCAGCAGAGAGCCCGATGTGGCGCTCCATCCTACGAACCATGAGATCATGGCCTGAGCTGAAGTCAGACGCCAACCAACTGAGCCACCTAGGTGCCCCGGCACAAGATCCTACTTGTTGAGAGTCAGTGTGTCCAGAGCACATGAATTTGGAGCACCACAGAGGCTAAGCTATTAACTTCTGATTCGAGTATTTTCAAAGTTTGCATAGTGGTATTGAACTCTTGTTCTATTACCATGGAGAGATTTAAGATCACCTTTTCAAAGTCATAAATGCCAGGGGTAACAGGGTGGTTCGGTTGAGCAGCCAACTTTGGCTCAGGTCATGATCTTGGAGTTCATGAGTTCCAGCTTCACATCAGGCTCACTGCTGTCATGAGGAGTCCACCTCAGATCCTCTGTCCCCCTCCCTCTGCCCCTCCCCCTCTTGCACTCTTTTAAAAATAAACATTTTAAATACATACACACATACCAAAACTTGGAAATAAGGTCCTCAACACTGAAAAGAACTTGAGAGTGCCAATACAAAAGCAGGTTCTCTATGGTTTCATGCCTCGTATGTTTATGTGGCATGACCTTATGAACAAAGGAGCCCAAGTTTATAATTTGGTTATTATTTAAGGTTGAGCATCTGGTAACCGGAGGGGAGCCAGGTAGGAGTCCACATGGTCCTGACCATTTAAAGTGGTAACCCTTTAGGGGCGCCTGGGTGGCTTAGTCGGTTAAGCGTCCAACTTTCGCTTAGGTCATGATCTCGCGGTTCATGGGTACGAGCCCCGCATCGGGCTCTGTGCTGACTGCCAGCTCAGAGCCTGGAGCCTGTTTCAGAGTCTGTGACTCCCTCTCTCTCTGACCCTCCCCTGCTCATGCTGTCTCTCTCTCCTAGAAAAAAAAAAAAAAAATTAAAAAAAAATAAATAAAGTGGAAACCCTTTATAAATTTTGTGGCCATATAACACAAAAAGGCCAGTGTGGTTCACAGAGAAAGAATGGAATTTGTAATCTCCTAGATCTGGGATATCCCATGGCCTTTGCTACTAGTACTGTTAGCATCCATACACCTTTACTTTCCATGTACTCCTGCCAGTTTGTAAAAGCAGAACAAGGTGCAAAATACCTGCAGTCTGGCTTTGGCAGCTAGAAAGCTTGGTTTTGTCACCTAGCCAGAAGTCCAGATATTTGGTCCACCTGTATATAGTTTGGAATATTGACCAGTCTTAGGGGAGTAGCTAAGATACTTCAAGTTGTACAAGGATGGCTTGTGAACCATCCAAAACATTTGGTGACTTTTTAAATGTCTGTTCTGTAGGGGTGCCTGGGTGGCTTAGTCGGTTAAGCGTCCGACTTTCACTTAGGTCATGATCTCGCGGTTTGTGGGTTCGAGCCCCGCGTCGGGCTCTGTGCTGACTGCCAGCTCAGAGCCTGGAGCCTGTTTCAGAGTCTGTATCTCCCTCTCTCTCTGACCCTTCCCTGCTCACGCTGTCTCTCTCTCTCTCTCTCTCTCCTAGAAATAAATAAAAATATTAAAAAAAAATAAAAAATAAAAATAAATGTCTGTTCTGTAGAAGTTAGTGCCAGAGTCACTTTTAATCTCCTGAACAGGTTTGAAGATGCCATTTATAGAATTGAACCACAGGGTTTGATTAAATAATGTCCTGTTATATCATCCAGGAAAGGTCCAGTGGCATCTGGGGTTTTTTTTGTTTTTTGTTTTTTGTTTTTTTTTAATTTCTGAGAGAGAGAGAGAACAGGGGAAGGTCAGAGAGAGAGGGAGACACAAACTCTGAAACAACCTCCAGGCTCTGAGCTAGCTGTCAGCACAGAGCCTGACATGGGGCTCAAACCCACCAACACGAGACCATGACCTGAGCCGAAACCGGACGCTTAACCGACTGAGCCACCCAGGTGCCCCCAGTGGCATCTGTTTTTGATACAGGGGGAAAATTTTTGTCTATTGTGTTTATCTGGGCAAAGGACAGTCCTTGAATTTCAACAGAGGTTTTCCTGCACGTAAACAACTCACCTGAAGAAACAGCAGAGTGATGCTTTTCTAGTCATGGATACCCTTACCCTGTCATACATCCGTCTTCCATACTTAGTTCACCACATATTCACGTCGTTGGGAACAAAAAATATTTAAGTTCTTTTGCACTATCTAAATGTTGGACATAATCAGTCATACTGATTAGTTAATGTGGCCAGGGTTTGGTAAACTGGCTTAAGGGTGTGTATGGTCTGCACCAAACTTGGAAAAGTGAGGGTTAATAAGAGCAAGGCACAGGCTAAAAGAGAGTCTATAGTGAAAATTCAGTGAGGGGAAAAAGGGTAGATAGAGACAAGCATTCTTCAGTCAGACTTCTAATCAAAGATGAATGAAAAGTGTTCATTAATCAGAAAAAGTGTTTTTGTTTGCGTGTGTGGGTGGGGGGAGAAAGAGAGAGGGAGGGAGGTAGTTTTAAAGGGTGGAAGAGTATACAGGTCAAAGAGAAGTTTCTTGATCGAAGATCATAGGAAAGGCTGCCTACTTCTTGATGCTGTCTACTTCTGAGGTCTCAGAATTGACCCAGGAAATCCTTAACTTAAGGTCAGTTGTAGGACTGTCTCCCAATTGTCTTGAGAGTAATGTCCTGGATCTACTTTGGCATGGCGTGAGTGAATCTGGGAGGATGTTTCTTTAATCTTGATGACAGGTAGGTGATTACAGTACTTCATAAGGTCCTTCCCAATGAGGGGACAGTACTTATTTTCTTCTAAAGACCTTGATGTACACCTGGTCTCGTGGTTGAAAGGGATGTCTGTTGGTGGGGTCCACGTCTCTTTTACGTGTTGGTGGTATGCTTCAAGTATACTAGTTAGGTGTTTTATAGTCGTTCGTAGCATCAAATTGTTCACTTAAGTTCTTATAATGCTCACTTAATCCAAGAATGGGTTAAAAGGGATAAATCCATGCCTCCTATTTGAAGTATTCTAGATCTTTGTAAGGGCTAAGGGTAATGCTTCTGACCATTTCAGTCTAGCTTCTTGACATATCCTTCCTAAAGTCCTTTTTATGTCTAGATTTTTATGTTCCACTTGC